TGGTTAGTTTCTGATCTTCAGTGGTGACCCCTTAAAAGGTTGCGCTTATCGGAAAAGCCTTATTTTTTGTGGACCATACATGTGCATCAGTACTAATCGCCGACCTAACAAAATCACAACTGGTCAACGAACACGCCTGGTTGACTGAACCACATCGTCTGATAAGACGCATCCGGTTGTGAACCAGACGATAATTCATAACAAATTCCGGCTGGGAGTTTCTCCTCCTCCGTCGACAGAGGCGATATGGTTGACTGTGGTTCTTGCCCTAAAGTTAAGTCCATTCTTCTTCCGGACAGACATTATTTCATCGAAGTGCTAGATTGTCCAATTGAGATAGTTGGATATATTACAGTGTTTTAGACAATCGAACTCGATACGTCTCGGAATCGCAAGTTTAGCCATAATGGAGTAGCTTTTTAATCTGCTCCCTGCATGGCAGGTACGGGACGGAGAATAAAATCTCATCATATCCTTACGCTACAATTGTCACCGATTGTTTCAAACGAAAGTAATTTCCGGTTTGGACGACCTTGTAGAGTATGGCTCGCTGCAGTTTCCGCAGAACGAGATGACACCGCAATTACCAGCACATTTAATGTTCATCTATGACCCCCCATCCGAAACAAACATCCACACATGACTGCTGATCGCACTGAAATAAAGCACAGACTTCATCTTGCAACATTCATCCGTCAGCGCATAATCAATTTGAACTGTGATTCACGAATGGTGGAAGACACGCAATTCATCATCACGGTTGCATGACCAATCGAACCAAGGGCCGGAAATCATGGACTCAGATTCGAGATCATTTCACATAGGCGGAGTTAGATTGGCTTTGTTCCGTGCACACACCTGAATTGGTTATTTAGGTTACCTGATGCTTCCTGTTTAGGGTCCTTGTGATCGCCCCGATCAAACTTTTGAGTGTCGCAAACAGTAGCGCCCGTACATTCGTTACCTTTTCACATGTACTTCGTATACTTCAGATTTGACCCCTCCTATTGCTCTCCCTTTCAGCTTTTCATAGAATGTAACTTCTTCTCGTCATCGACTGACCAAATGAGTAGCCGAAGGATAGCAGCCAAAACCGAAGTGATTAGTGGTTGTACGAGCTAGAGCTGGGGACACAATAATAAATAGGCAGGTAGTAGTAGTGCAGTTTTTCACTACGACACCAAATGCCACTACTGGAGCATACTTCACCATTAACGATATAACTGATACAAGTTAAAACATGTGAATAAGTGCGCATTTATACGAATCCATGCTGTTTCACACACTCACACACACGAACACATGTGACTTATGAATCAGGCGGTGGTGAGTGACAGTTCGATTGACTGACCGGATGAGTAGATTGTGTGCGTGCTGGGTACGGGAAGGTGAACGGGGTGTAATAGTGATAGTCACAGTTGCTTGTTGTGCGAGTACGGTGGATTTGTGTTCCGTGGCGTGTGTGCAGGTTGACCTCTGTGCAAATGAAAGCACATTCGAGCAGAGTCCAGAGAGAGAGAGAGAGATAGAGAGAGAATAAAGGATAAAAGACAACGGAAACAAAAAGAGAACAAAAGGTAACTCAGAATGCAAAAGGGCGTCACTAGCGTAACACTGAGACTATTCAGTGTGTGCCTATGGGGGCTTTCACGTTCGAGCAGTTCAAAGTACTCGCAAAAAACCTGGTATACAAGTGAGAACGAGAATAGGAGTGTGCTGCCGGGGAAACAAGTTATGCTTCGCGTAAGTGACAGCAGGTCGGAGACGGAGGTAACACAAATTCAGGGAC